TCTACAGACAGGGCCATTAAGCACGATGTAAATTTGACNGAAGGGCCGTGAACGGTCTTTAATCCAGCACGCGTCTCTGTCTTCAGCACACCGGTTCTGGGAGAGAAAAAAAACAAGGCTTTTCTAAATATTACATCTTACATCTTACAGACACGGGTCATTAAGCACGATGGTAAATTGACAGAAGGGCGTGAAGGTCTTTAATCCAGCACGTGTCTCTGTCTTCAGCACATCGGTTCTGGGAGAGAAAAAAACCAAGGCTTTTCTAAATATTACATCTTACATATTACAGACACGGGTCATTAAGCACCATGGTAAATTGACAGAAGGGCGTGAAGGTCTTTAATCCAGCACGTGTCTCTGTCTTCAGCACACCGGTTCTGGGAGAGAAAAAAACCAAGGCTTTTCTAAATCTTACATCTTGCATATTACAGACACGGGTCATTAGGCACGATGGTAAATTTGACAGGAAGGGCGTGAAGGTCTTTAATCCAGCACGTGTCTCTGTCTTCAGCACATGGGTTCTGGGAGAGAAAAAAACCAAGGCTTTTCTAAATCTTACATCTTACATATTACAGACACGGGTCATTAGGCACGATGGTAAATTGACAGAAGGGCGTGAAGGTCTTTAATCCAGCACGTGTCTCTGTCTACAGCACACCGGTTCTGGGAGAGAAAAAAACCAAGGCTTTTCTAAATCTTACATCTTACATATTACAGACACGGGTCATTAAGTACCCTCACCCCTCCCGTCTCAGCGGCGGGGGAAGGTGGTACCGTCCGCATTCCGGCGGCTGGTAAACAACCGTACCCTGTTTTTTACCCCAGTTTTCTTCACAACGGTTACCCCAAACCGGGTGAAACTTGGGGATAGTGTTGGCATAATTTTTATCTGTATTGTACGTCTTTTTGGACGTTCTGTTGTTCCTAATTCGGTTGTATCCTACCCTCCCCCCTCTTGGGGAGGTGGACGCGTCCGCTTAGGAATCTAGGCCACAGAGCTATATTTAGCTAAGAGCCCTCGTGCGGTATACTAATATATTGCATGTTTTACACGAAAGGCTCTCTCCACCATGCCAATGTTTTTCCAATTAGGGATCCCCACACTCTTCTGTCAATTCGCCATCGTGCTTAATGACCCGTGTCTGTAAGATGTAAGATGTAAGATTTAGAAAAGCCTTGGTTTTTCTCTCTCCCAGAACCCATGTGCTGAAGACAGAGACACGTGCTGGATTAAAGACCTTCACGCCCTTCTGTCAATTTACCATCGTGCTTAATGACCCGTGTCTGTAATATGTAAGATGTAATATTTAGAAAAGCCTTGTTTTCTCTCCCAGAACCGATGTGCTGTAGACAGAGACACGTGCTGGATTAAAGACCTTCACGCCCTTCTGTCAAATTTACCATCGTGCTTAATGACCCGTGTCTGTAAGATGTAAGATGTAAGATTTAGAAAAGCCTGGGGTTTTTTTGTCGCTGGATCCGTGTCTGTAATATGTAAGATTTGAAAAAGCCTTGTTTTTTTCCCTTGTCTGTAATATGTAATAAGATGTTTTATAAAAGCAAGGACAGAACCTTTTCGAAATCTTACCTCTTACATCTTACAGAGACTTGTGTTCTAAGATGTAAGATGGGAGATAGGAGATAGGTCCTAATTTTTCTTTGTAAATTTAGCACGCGTTTTTATTTGCTGTTGTAACACTAGGAAAAGGTACTTTGATTTTGTTTTGCAAATGTAGCACGCTGATGCAACTATCCTATATCAGGAAAAGGTACTTAACATTTGCAAAAAAAGGCGTGTTTATGTGCTGTTTGTTTTGCAGACGATTTATCTACCAGGAATACCATTTATGTTGTTTTTGCGTTGAATTCCCTTGGGTGCAATTTATTTGGAAAGGCTTCCATCTAATCTAGTTTTGTGGCGATTTTCTTTGTTGCTTATTTGATTGCTTTCTAACAGGGAGTATAGGATCTTGCTAACAGGGAGCATGGGATGATGACTTTTTCCGATGTAAGATTTTGTGTAAGATTCTAAAATGTGCCTTGTTTTTCGATGTCCAATAATTTGCCACTACTGTTTTGCAGGGGACAATGCAAGGCTTTGTATTGTATCTGGGGATTTCCGCCTGATCACGTGACCTCATTGATGTGACTCAAAGAGGGGAATCCCCGACACGTTGACAGAACGTACTGCGCCTGCGCAAAACCCTGATTGTTATGTGTTTGGTTAGCCGTGGCGACTCTTGATAAGCCCGAATCAAGAGTCGCCA